TGGATGCAACAGCTGTGTGCAAACTACCATTGAAGGGAGATACCTCAAGCATAAAGGTTTCCACAACCATGAAGACAATTACACCAAATACAACTTCAATGATTGATGTCGAGAACCACCTACTTTGGCCAGTGATCACATCTGTTGTCGACTGTTGGTAGTGCTAGCCATCTAATATTCAGTTTGCTTTTATACAATCTATATCTCATTTTCTTAGGTGGTTAATGTAATGTATAACAATATGAATTTAACTACCACCAAAATGTACAGCTCTGCCTCATAGCGAATTTTTGTTAAGTTTCTTTTTACACTAAAATACTAGTCGTTATGGATACTGAATAATTGATCTGTACTATTTTACTATTATTCAAGGTTATAGAGTATTTAAATACTTAAATTTCTAAGTACCTAATATAAATTTTGCGAAAATGTACCTAGATAGTAGGCTTGAAATTTTCCCGCGTTAACTGGTAGACGCCATTTTTTTACTGGCCTCAGTAGTTGCTATATATAACTTCGTATTTATCGTAGATGAATATATTATATGGTGTATGATAAAACTATTATTTATAATGACTAGGGACAAAATATAATACTTTGTCAATCCATGAAGTAAAAATTATTCGTCGTTTTTTTTAATTTTGTCAGCCATATAACTTAGTACCTATGGAAGGGTGGTGTTTTTGGATAAAATTGGTGTAAGTAATGTTTTCCCCTATTTAAGATTTTTATTTAATTTACTAAGGTAGCAATTAAATAGGCATTTATTAAGTATAATTAATAGTAAGAGTAAATAGAAATGCTAGTGACGCTACAACTAACTACGATAGGTCGGACGGCATTTTTTTTAAATACTTAAGTTCTTCTGGTAATGCCCGAATTGGTACAACATTGAAACATTGAAACGTCGTATAAAGTCACTTATAAAATAAGTATAGAGAAGTGACTTAACGATTTTCCATTCCCCGTCATCACCCCTATTTATATATTATATACATAATATGGATAATACGCCACCTAGTGGCCTTTAGAAGCAATCAAGTAATTAGCTCGTTTATATAACAAGAGATGGCGTGAGTAGTTAGTTAGAAAAATAGATGCGTGTGCTCATATGAGCTTGGATTTATATTAACGTATACATACTATTTGTATTTAGATTTTTATAAAATTGTAATTACATAGTTATATCAAGTTATACAATATTACTTAAATTTTTAGAAGAAAAATTGTATCCATGTATGTACGTAATTATTACTAGTACCTACTTGACAACTAAATATCTTAACTAGTCATTAAATGTTTTCTTTCTCAATGAACATGTGTGCCAAATCTTTATTTAAAAAAAAACTTAACATAAATGAATTGTGATTGTTATTCTATTTTTTTTATCTTTCTACTGAAAGTAGATTCCACCTTCTAAAGTGAAAAAGTACTTAATTGTAGGGTACTTTTTATAAAATACTTAGTTATTTTTTTTGTGTACCTTATTTAAAGTCTGTTGAATTATACTCAAAAGACGGTATTCATTCCAGAGTGATTTATTATTTTAAAATACCCTTTTTTTTAGTAAACCGGTGTAGCTTTTGTACTTATGTATCGCATTACTATAATGTTATTTAATTGGTGAAATAAAGACAAACACTGAATCATAGTTCTGTATTATTTTACACATTCGCTGATTTTGGAAAAAGTGACTTGTAAATCTTGTAATTAGTCGAACCTACCTCGTCAATCACTTTCGTGAGGGAGACGTTATATTTTCGAATTTACCTTAGCTTTGCAAAAAAATGTCGAAATCAACAGAATTATCCACACAGCCATGAGCCTGACAAATATTGTTTAAGAAAGGGAAGTTATTATAGGAATAATCAATCATTCAATGATGCTAAATAGAATATAGGTTAGGTAAGATTTTGGTGTTTGATCTTCCTCCATTTTGTCCACGATTGGGAGAAACATCGTCATCATCACCAGCTAAGTAAAGATTAGGCGGTAAATTATCAAAATCCATTTACATTTCTTTCCTTTGTGTCGTCAACTTTTGCCTCTACAGGGACGAAATTGGTGTTCAGCCGGGGTTGCGGGGTAAGCGCAATGAGGCACCGCGACGCAACCTCGGCCCAGAGCAGGAGAAGGAACGGGAGGGTTTTTAGTCAGTAAACTCTCTCTCGCCTTACCCTGGGCGGGAGAAATTGGTATTATTGGTACCGGTTCGTAACTGGTAGAAGCAAAAGTACTGGCACAAATTTTTATGCCTACGTAGTTATGTGTATAATAAAAAATTCTAAGCTCGTTGGTACGTTATCTATAATTAAAACGCGTTGTATTTGATTGGTTTTTGTACTCCTTTCAAACATCCTTACTTTTTTGGCCTGGATTTTGATTCTGACGTCGAGTATCGAGAGAAGAATGAGAGAGTATTCTAGTATCGAGTAGTATTGCCAGTTGGAAATATTGAACTTGTCTATTATCATTACTTTTTTGCTATTGAAGCTTTTTATAAACTAAATGCAACTATTGTTGTACGTAAGTAAATAAATTGAATCAGTATTTTAGTACCCTTAAATACCGCTAATTTTCTTTTCTAGCTCACGCTTGAATTTGCTTGTAGAGAAATTTAGTAGCTTCTTATGAATGGTCGCCTGATGAACGGTTTATATTGCAGCGTCCTGCATTACCCTGGTTGGGGGTAAGTCCTTGATCAGGTACAATCAATACACGTACGGTACCCACTGCAAGTTGAAGCATGGGGATCGATGGAGATGCAACCAGTACGTACAAAATGGGTGTAAGGCCCATCTCGTGTTGGATGAACGCCTAAATGTTCTCAAAAAGAATGATGTCCACCACCATCCTCCGCCTTTTTACGTGCGTAGAGTTGATGGACTGTATTGTAAAGTAGAGAAGAAACCAGATTGGTCACTTATACCAGCTAGCTATTTGAAAGCTGCTTACAAAGAGTACATTAAAAAAGTTTCTGAAGTGACACGTGCACGTTAATAAACAGTGCTAATAAATGCGAGTGATTTTTCGCGTAAACGCGATTGAAACGTCACTACGTTTAGCTCTCTGATTGGTTGGTTAACTTGGAGCGAGCCAATCAGAGCGCCGAACGTCATAAACGTGAAAAATCTCGCACTCTGCTGTCTAAACCTTACTTTATTTTCATTTTTTATACAACTACAAGATTTTTTCGAAAAAGAATTTGCTCTGATAATATTTCAATTCTTTCTCATAAGACTTTATTGCATACTTCTAAATGGTATTTTAATAATGTTATCGTGTTCTATTTTAATGATATAGGTATTTATATTATGCTAATAAATCAATCGAGTAGGCTAACATAATTTATTTGTACTTAGTGTCAAATCCTGTGATCCTTATTATAGTCGGTTTACGTCCAAGTCAGTATTATTGTTATTTATTAGTATGGTCAACCATTAGCCAAAGATTAAAATACAGTTTTTATGATGATCTCTCAATGTTGTCGTTTTTGATATTAGTAAGTAATGAAACTATCTTTTATTGACTTTTCAATAAGTAGAATAAAAATTGTATGTGCTATTTCCATTTGCTACCATGATCTCAGTCCGTCGGTTTGTTTCGACTGACACGTACTTAGCTATTTTTCGAAAAATTGAATCCTTTATTTGTTTGGCTGACATCTTTTTATCATTATTTATTCTTCTGATAAATCTCTATCGTCATGTCACGAGGATTTTCTAAGTCATGTAAAGTTAATTAAGAGCCACGGTCTTATTTTTGTGATACTTAATTAAAAAATCCTTTGTATACGAATTTGGAAATATTATATTAATACTAGTATACAATATCATAATCGTTATAATAAACAATTGTGCATTAATAATAAAACTCGTGTATATTTACATTAAGGACTGTATATCTTAATCGACTTTTATTACATATATGTACTTAGTACCTATTTATATATCCAGTTATTTTTAATTAATTCTATTGTGCAATATTTTATTGATATTAATTAGATCTTAGAATATACCTGGTTATATAGACTGCGTTCGGTGTTCAATATATGCATACCTTATCGACGTTTCAAGTTTTTGTATATTTAAATCGTATCGTAACTTATGGCGGAATGATGAGTAAAGTTAATAGGCTCAATGGGCATAATCATTTTTAAAGAAAAGATTGGGTAGCTTGGCATCAGAGTTTCGTTAGATTTGTATAACAAACCAAATATAAATGATTTGGAACATAAAGACTAAAAGTCACACTAGCGCCATCTACCTAACGCGAATAGGTAAGCACCAACTGCCGCAAAAACAGTTTGAAATGAGAGATTATATTTATGTGTATTTGGTCAGTATTTATTCACTTAAATAAATTACATAGGATGGCTGTACCGTATTAAATGCAATAAATAATATTCAATCTATGAACGTGTCTGATTTAATAGAAATACAGCTTTTATATGTCACTGAGTACATTTAAGCAATAATGTAAAGTTCATTGCTTTATTGAATATTTTTTTATTACACTTTTTTGTTTAGAATAAAATGCACTAGATAATCCAATAAGGCCGAAGAGGTTAAAACGAAAAATAAATATACAAAATAATTTATTTATGTATTTTATGCACTAACTTTATTATACGTACGTACTAGTTTCTCGAAATTGATTAAAATAATGATGTTCTGGAGTGATTGATTGCAATTAGGGATCTAATATTATAGACTAGAAGTCATAAATGCCTTATTCGGTGGACTAAGATGATAATGTAATCCGAGGATCATCCAGATCTGTCTAAAATAATCAAAAAGTCAAATTAGTGTCACCCTTGTAGTCTGACATGGTTGAAAGTATTATTTTCTTGTCTGGAGTTAATTATGATAAATATTGCTCTCGAAGAATGAATAGGACGATGAGGTTATGGAGTTCGTAATAAAATGGTCTCAATTCAAATTAATACAACAGAACAAGACGCTTAGGTGCTGGTATAATTATTCAGTTGACAAAAAAAAATGTTTTCAGTGCTTCTGGTGAAAGGAAGGAATGGAAAGGATTTGCTGATGATGGAAGGCTACACTTACTACCAGCATAAAATTTTAAGGGACGGCTTCCGATGGAGTTGCACTCAGATGGGTTCAAGGTCATGCAGAGGATTTCTACACGTGAACCACGATATGTTTGTACTCAGAGCCTTTACGGAACACACTCATCCTCCACCTTGGAAGGCTCCTAAACACAGTAGGACTAAAGATGTAAGTATGTATTGTATTTATGGACCCTTGACCCTTTCGCATGTGATCATTCAAACAAGTCTACAACGATGTGTATCGCTTTAGATATTTATTATTGCTTTCTTGTCACCTTTGTCATCATCATCATCATCATCAGCTAGAAGATGTCTCCTTCATCAACCATCCACCAAACAAACCATGCATCTCCATCATTATATACCTTCACCGTGACTTGCGAAGGGACTATTTCATATCTGTGGTTGTCGATTTAATATGTCCTGTCTTTGTTTCAGAAAAAGAGTTTTAAGATGGGCAAGAAATTATGGAACCCTTTGCCTTGGAAGATAAGTAGCATCCAGGGTCGAGCAAATTTCTGATAAACGAATGCCTTCAAACGTTGTGTTTGAAAAATATTGTTTGATTAAGTATATTGAATAGTATTAATCATTAATATTAAAAATTCACTATATCTGTTGATATTTCATAATATATTTGCCAATGTTTGTAAACATTAAGATTCTTAATTAGATTGGTTTAGTTTAGCTTTTGGTAAATCTCATATCATTCCAAGTTCTAAATTGTGTTTTATTCAATCGATGTATTAATTTTGATTGTTAATTTAAACGGGTTATTAATAATGCATTTTTAATTATAGGCTATTATTTAATTATGTTTATTTAGCTGGTAATGTTAATAATATTGCTGTCACTAGCCAGAAAATGATAAAGAACCTTTCACAGTCTTTTAATGCCTACAGAACCCAATCCTAAGAAATTGTTTTCGGACCAAATTGTTAATAAAGAATAGTTGAAGTTATCTTTTAATCTTTGAGTATGACTGTAAGTATAAAAGGTACTCAAATTACCTACAATCATGCTGAAAATCAGTTTGTTACACAAGTTATCATCAAAATTGCTCCTATTTGGAATCATCAGATTTTAAAGATTAAATACCGAGAGTACCGGGATAAGTACCCTTGTCGTATTCCAACCTTGTGTTAAAACCGATCTTTAATTCAATGTATTGTTATTGTAAAGCGACATTTAGTTTGTCAACATACAGACTTTAGTAATTAAAAGAATTTATTTGCGACAAAACTTTAATAAGACAGGTACATTATGATCAAAACAATTTCGTTATAATTCAACTTTCGAATAGACATCCCTAATCCCTCAATCCCCCACTACGCAAATTCCTAATCCCCCAAAAGGCCAGCAACGCACTTGGCAGACAGCTGACAGTTCAACTGTCAGGAAGAAATCGGCTCCATTGTAGGTCGCATTATCATTATTTTACCACCAGGCGTGATAGCAGTCAAAAATGTCTGCCCATTTCGTAATGAAAAAACAAGATGGCGCCGATTTATTCCTGTCAGTAGATCTGTCCGCTCTATACCCTTCAAAAAAAACATGGCTGTAAAAATAATGCAATTATGTAAAATAGCAATAGTTGAATGAGAAGTTACACTTATTGTATTTAGTATGAATTGTATTAGGAAAGCCAGAATAGGTATCAATAATAATTATTTTTCTAACATTAATAATAATTGAATGAATTACTTGTCTAAAAAGATAATATGTGATAATTTGATTACTGCGTTTTCAAATTTTTAATAGTTTGATTCAGTAATTTGTTAGTAAGTAGTAAGTTTTATTTTTAAGAAAATATCTTGTTAAAATACGTCATTTTTATTCATTTCACTTAATAATAATACATAATATTGAATTAATTTCGAATAAATTAAACTGTGAATACATAGTACCTAATTGTAATAAAATGTAATCTTAGTTCAGTTCGAAATAATAATTTATGGCTAGTATCAAGAATCTATCTACATTTTCTTACTAAATATAGAATTATGACACATTTTACTTGGAGGTTTTAAGCTAATTCTATTTCTAGTCAGAAAATTTATAGTTAGATAGGGCTTGAGACTAGCTGATTGTAAACTTGCAACCTATCGTGGTTGAACATGGTTGAAATTTGTACGGGTAGAATCCGATCCTTTGTCAGAGGAACTAGGTCAAGAGACCTCTTTTCTTTACCACCAAGAAGCCTATAAACTTCCCCGACAACCCTTGTTCAACACGTATAGTTCTACAACCCTATACCGTTGTACTAAACATGCCTTTTTATGATATTAAGATAGATTATAAAAGTGTAATAATAAATAAATATTATTTTGTATGTCGCTTATTAAAATGAAATTAAAGTAATTCCATTTATTTTGTTGGTTTCAGCTTGTATTTTGGATTCAATAGAAATCCTTGCACTAATTATAAAATTATGATATTAAATACCATGTATTATTACTTGAGAACCCTTTACTATAACTATAAGAATAAATGATTAATGACTTATTCATTTCATATAATATTTATAACCCAGCCAAGTAGGGTTCTATAAGATTATTGTTATATATTTGGTCTCTCTTGATTACAGAGTTATGTATGAAATCGGTAATAAAAATAATTGTTACTGACTAAACTGTTTTTCCTACAGTGGAATTCTACCTACGACCCAGCGGTAGGATCAATTTACGCCTCAACAACTTCACCTTCTACAAACACTTGAAGGCCAGGAGTAACGCTCACCGCTGGAGCTGCACCGCCTATGGCTCCAAATGGAAGTGCAAGGCCCACCTCATAATCACCGACCGCCTCGAAGTCTTAAAAGCCAACATCTTCCACAGCCATCCTCCAAGTCTAAAGAAAGAAATGAAGGGTCCTGTACCGAAACTGATGAAAAAGGAAGGAAAGCAAGATACACAGAATAATAGTAACATCAGTATTGATGAAAATTATCCTGCTTTAACACCATTTCAAAATTATTTAGCTGCTCACAGCGTATTTGGTAGTTATTAGTAATACCTTTTAATGGATGTACCTAATTTTGCAACAGGACTTGCGCAAATTAAAGTCAGAAAATTTGTCTTTTAGTTGGCAGGCTTTATTTTATCATTGATAACTAAACTTTAAATTTGGACTTATTAAATCTATCAAAATATTTGATAGAAACGTAACTTTTCTTGACGATGAGATCTGATGACGACAAATATAATAGCCCTCATTGCCAGCCAACTTTTATCTGCAGTCTCAAAATCTTTCATTTGTTTGTTTTGGTCCAAATATAAGTACCAAACGTGCACATAATCAAGTATCATTATCTTTGTCCCTTGCCTGTCTTAAGACTTAATCTAAATTAGGTTTTAATTCTAATTCAGTAGGGTTTAATTTCACAAGTTTTATTTTAATTATTTGCTTAGCTGATACGTATTTGCTTGCAGCTTTATCAACTATACTGTTCTTAGTATTAAGCAATCATCAATTATGAGATAGTAATTCACAATTAGGTCGTTAAAGTTTTGATCTCTTAAAATCTCCTGTTCGTTAGTTTCGTCTAAATTATTGTGTTTGTTCCTGAGAATGATATAACATTTGCGTTTTATTAAGCTGGTCTACTTGTGTAAATTAATATACGTCTGTTTTTTTTTTTGGAAACTTCTGTTTAGGAAGCTTAGTGGTGACACACCATGTATTTTAATTATGATTATGGAATTTAGCCACCACCATACACAATTATAAGCGTATTACGCATTTTGCGTATAAGTTTTACCATTTTATTTAGTTTGATCTTACAGTTAGTCTTAGTTATAACGAAGGTAGATATTAAGATAGTTGTCAAAAATCATTGAAAAGTGCCTTTTACTAGACGTGTCTTTAAAATTAGTATTAACACCAATGTTTTATGTTAAATCGTTTGATTTTTAGCAACTCGTGTGATATTTGTTTTGCCTTTCGATAACGCATCCAGTATTATATTTGTGATCGATTCAGCATTTGTAGGTTTAAAGCTTAGTAATAGAATATATTCTTGCATTTATCTTTACTTAGGGATCGTAAACTAGAATGAGCACGTATCTCTTATTTGTCTATTTTTATAACATATCCGTAATTTTGATAAGCAGTGTATGAATGTCTAAGAAATATTTTTCCATATAAAGTAAGTAAGTTACTGTACGGGCTTTGTGAAACAATTCTTCCAATGTATCACTGTATTACTTAATAATATATATATTTATCACGTATACGTTATAATGTTAGTTATAGAGGCTGTAAACCACTATTTAACTGGAAAAGTAATGATAATAGAAATAAGTTGAAAGTGATCCAATTTTCGTGGATGAAATTTGATGAAGTGAGAATGGGCGATTTTGGGACAATATCTTTTTTATTTGGCCCATTATGGCAAAATATACTCCATAAACATGGCAATATTGTTAACGAACGATTTCTCCTACAAGAATACTTTAGTAGTTCTGGAATCGATTTAAATGTTATTGGGATTATTTCGGTTATAAAAAACATGTTGATGTTTATCAAACAAACAATTTTATTTAATTCTGCAACAAAGTAACAAAACTCTTAAATAATGTCCTTCAAATACATAGAAATATGTGTAATAATAAACCGGTATAGTCATCTGACGTCACTTGTACTAAAGTCCAATCTAAAATTTCTGATTTCCTTTGTTGCAAGTATTGAGGGTGGGTCCAAAATAGTACCTTGTGGAACCCTAAGACAATCTTCGACTAATGTTTTTATGAGTAGCCCAGAACGAAATAAATAAAAAAATAAAAGTTTAAGTTAAGTATTTAAGATTTATAATTTAAGAAAGAATGTGTCATTTGAACAATTGGTGAGAAAATAATCGTTTTACTTAAGACTGCATGCTTAGAAGTTTTGTGATATTCTGGCATTTTATTTGGATCTCATTTTTATTATTTGAAAAATTCACTGATTCCAAGACTGTAACCTGTGTAAACACTATTGTATACGATTTTAGTAATAGTTTAGGACATTTATTATTTTTGAAATTGTAGATTTCAAACGTACTCATAAGTTACCTATTTAACAAACCCGGAGATAAAACTGAATGTGTAAACGTGTAATAAACTCCAGCATTATAATAAAACATATAAACTATAATCCTTAGACTTAAGTAGAATCTTTACATTTTAACTCTGTAATTTTACAGCAAACACTATTGTATTCTTTCTTAATTTCATTAAATTTTTAAACAATATATATACTATCAATGTTTGGAACGCCTCCCGCAATTCTATTACCAACCAAGTACCTTTCACACATAAAATATCTACAGGTCTTGATCTATATTTTATCTGATGGTAAGTTCTTTTCCTATTCACTGCTATATGATATTTATCGTCCTTTTGGTTTATCACTTTTTGAATTTGTTTCAGATCAATAGAAAGAGAAAAATAGAAGTTTAATCCTCTTGCTCAAGTATTCTCCTTACTGTTGCAGTTGACGATTAATTCTGGTTCTGCTTAGTTTGGTGCCTTCTTATATTTCAGTAGACAAAGAAGTTTTCGATGATGTATGCACTATGCATTTAGCATAAAATAATTTCAGTATTAGTAAATCGATTATATCAGCTACTGAATTTTATTTCTGATCTAGTTTTAAATATCATAGAATAAACATAATACGAGTAGTTGCTGTGCTAAATTTTAATGAAAACTCATCATGGCTAGTACCTAATGTGATGCAATTTCAGTTAACATATTCATGACGACCAGAGGGAAAGAGAGGTTGATATTCAACGACTACACCTACTATAAACAGAGCAGGACAAAATGTGGATTCCGATGGGGCTGTACGAAGAACAGATGGCATAAATGTAAAGCCTACTTACACTTGTCTGATGACATGACAATCGTAAGAAGCAATATGGATCACACACATACACCATTTAGCACTCCAGTAAGAAAGAAACAACGACAAACCGATACAGATGAATGAATAAGGCAGTAGGCTATTAGTTTAAGTTAATATTCGAATTGTACTAAAGTACATTGCTATGTTAAAGCACGAAAATTATATTGCGTTTCCAAAGCTTTGTTTTTGGTGCTAGGACGCACAGTCCTTTAGCTAGGGATAGCTGTTGGCACAATTTTAACCTTACAAAAGATATTCTCTTAGGGTCGAAACCCAAAATCGATCGGCATCCAGAAACTCTAGATCGATCCAGGATTTCGGGGCAGACTCAGGTTTTTCCAGACCTCCTGTAGTCTGTACTAGAAGATCCGTAAATTATCATAATAATCACTATTAGGACACCATTAGTGGTCTTAAATTTTTATTCACCAATTAGCCTTATTTATTTCAAATTCATCATCATTTAAAGTTGAAAAATAATATAGGTAGTTTCGGGGTTCTATATCATTGAAATTTGTCTCTTCCTTGACGCCTTCCTGGATTATTATAGTGTGTATTGAAATAAGTCTGCAATAATGTTATCCATATCAATTTGTGTTGTCCTTTTAAATGTACGTACCACAGCATCTCAAGCTGTTTCTATACTGTGACACTCCTTTAATAAATTGACTTTAAACGTTTTGTCATAAAGTCTAAAGTCTATTGAAGAAATTGGTGTCGCTTGATGTGCTGGTGTGCACACAAGTGATAATTGTTTGTATTAGATAATTCACCAATGTCTTCTTTAAATGTCGTCCGATTAAACTAGAAAATGAAGTGATTTTTAGTCTAAGGTTAACACATAACATACGTAAGTTTAGAGCTTATTCTATAGATGATAACGTTGTTTTTGTGATAACAGTTGTGTTTTGTTCGAAGAGTTGCAATCGAACTGTTGTAAACTGTTTCACCGTCGCATAAAGTTCTCTTTTCCAAATACGATCAGGAAGAAAAAACAGCATGTTTATTAAAACTTGCATTTTTCTATCTCAATTATAAATATTTTTGAATTTTGTATAATACACTACACATTTTGTTGCACAGTTAGCTTCGATATATGGGATTCTATCTATTTTTAAAGGAAACAGTACGCCTCGCTGATGTTAGTATCGTCATCTATGTAGTTTAAAGGCCACGCAAACTTAAGTGTAGAGTTTACTCCCAGAATTCGCCCTAACAGAAACTTCTAAGCAATTTTAAACATTACTGTTTTACCAGTCAGAATGCAAAACATCTTACATTTTGTTGTTTTTTTTAATTCGCAGGAACATTGCAACTATTTGTTTATAATGATCTCAGATTACATTGTAAGTTTTAAATTCTAGTCAATACATGCTAGTCCGTTTTAAAATGAAATTAAATAAATTATTTATTTTTGCTTAAGCACATACATAGTATGATTTTTTTGTATTTCGAGTGTGAGTTCTTTCGTTCAAATTGATGGGAATTGTAACGATAAGTAAAGTACACTTTAGGTTATCAATTCGATTAAATAAAAATACAGCAAAAAGTGCTTTAAGATTTAAGTACCCGATATTGTATGAAAAATAATTGCTAGAATGCTATTAAAAAGTTTAGGTCTTTTGAAATTCCTAATTTGAAATAAATATGATTTCTTTTTGGATTTAAGTTTAATATTATAGTACTTAGGTATATTTTTTAAATTTATCCCTTTTAACGATAAATGGGGATATTTTAAAACATGTATGTACAAAAAAGGTTTATGTTACGCAAAATTGTAAACTTTTTTATTTATTTTTCAAATATAATGTTGCATTTATATTACGGACTTCTTATTTATATGCTTAGTACTAGCTTCTCTCGTTTTTATCAGATGCTTGTCTCCTTTAAGCCTGTCCTAATAGCCTTCCTCGATAAATCGTCTATCCAACTCAAAAAGAAACATTCAATTTAAATAAGTTGTGACGGAGATTAGCGCGTTCAAATAAAAAAACTTTTTTAGGTTTATAATATTATACTATAGACTAGTTTTATTTAGTCTGACGTTTTTAATATTATAAGATAAACGTATTATAGAAGTTTAAAACATAAAAAATAAAAGAAAGGTCTCAGTAATTTATGATTGGCAAAACAGCTGGTGGTTGGTTATGTAAACGCTTGTAAAAAAAACAAATATAGATTAAGATAGACTTATCATGTAAATTCTCCATATGGCTTGCAGTTTTGGGTTCCGCAATTTAATAGTAACCGTTCAATAAACACATAAGTCTCATTGTATTTATTAAATTATGATTCAAATGGTTCCAAGTTATTAGAGCATAATTTTTCTTTATAAATTAATCCTTTAAAATGAAAAATGAAACCTTAGAACATGACTTATAAGTTAAAAGTCACATCTCGTTATTATAACTTATAAGTTTCTTTTCAGTTATAAGTTATAACATTAAGTAAAAGTTGATTCTGATTCACAGCACAATATATTACTCTGGTTCGTGGCTCCAAGCTCCTCCTCATAAACGGGTTTACCTTCAACAAGAGTGGCTACATACGCAATCGAGGATATCGGTACACCTGTTCATGGTACAAGAAGAACTGCAGGGCTTTCGCACATATATCTCCGGATGACGTCATCCTTAAAGCTAATTTAGAACATAATCATTTACCCACACGATATGCTCAGGTTGAAGGTGGAAAATATATTAAATTGTGATTTGCAAGACATAATTTTTGCTCTTTCTTTCTGTTTCTCTCTCTTTCTTCCTTTCCTTGTGTGATTTATTTACTTGTATAATAGAATGATACTTGGAATACACGGTTGAACACATTGCTTAGTTATAAATGTATGCATTAATGCGAATGTTTTTTCTAGGCGCGTGGCAGGCTATTCTGTAACTTCTCTTTTAGAGGAAGTTTCTGACTCTTGTTGTCTTATAACCTCCCTGTTCTTTGTCCTGCTCTAGCCCAGGGTCGAGGTATATGATACACCAACAACCCCAGCTGATTTGTACTGGTAATATTTATTGACTTATCAAACGTAAATTCTTTATGTATGTTAAGTATGACTGTATGAATTTGAATACTAATTTCGCTTAGCCAAAATGTAAAGATTCTTTGTTGTCTCAACCACACCTTTTGTTATATATTCTATAATACACATAATTTGCATGCAGTCTTTAATTATTTTTTTTTTATTTAATTTAGGTATTATATTTTGTAACCTCGTGGTTTTTTGAGGCATATCATCAAATGACTTCGTCCATCCTTAGTGATAGGGAGTGTCAGAATTTTACTGACCAAAACCACAAACCACCAGCAAGCCACGGGATGTTGGCACTAGTGGACCTCATCTTTGGTGGTCTTATGATTTTATGAGGCGCGCTTTGTCTAAACTAGGCGTTGAAAATTGTTATAATCAAGTTACATACAAATGCAGATATGATATTTTTGTCGTAATTTTATAATGAATTAACTGACGCCCGCGTGGTATGTTGATAAAGAGATATTGATAGCCTGTGTCCTATTCTGGTCAGTCCAGCCGTTTTGGCGTGATTGAGTAACAAACATCCAAACATCGTAACTTTCGCATTTATAATATTAGTATAATTATAAGTATATAGTATAAAGGTATAATTATAAGAAGTAAGATAAGGTGAAATATGTGTCATAATTAAATATTGTCATAATTATAAGACAATAGTATTCGAGTATGAAATTAATATGAATCCGGCTTATGATCCACAGCCCAATACATAACCCTGGTTCGTGGTACGAGGCTTCTCCTACTCGACGGATTTTCATTCTTCAAAAGTGGCTTTATTCGAAATGGGGGCTCTCGTTACACCTGTTCAGCTTCCAACAATAAAAGCTGTCGGGCCTTCGCACACATATCTTCGGATGATGTCCTCATCAAAGCTAACTTGGAACATAATCATTTGCCCCCACAATATAAACAGCTCTCCGATGGAAGATATCTCAAATTGTAAACTGGCAGCCGGCCTCAACACCTACCATAGATAGTTTTTTTACAGAACACAATTCTGTTTAACCTTTTTAGGCTTATATTAGTATTGTCTTTTGCAATAATATATATGTATGTATTGGCTAGTAAATAAGGATAATTTTTTGTTATAGTTTATATTTATATGCAGAGTGCTTACATAAAATATTATGTATCATGATCATACTATTTTGTTTAAAAACTGCACTTAGGAATTGTAATATACAATGAAAGTCTTGTAATGTGTCACACTAATAATAAATTATTATAATATACTACAAATCGTCACAAGTCATTAACCGGTGTTTCGAGTTTAATTATTTATAACCATATATTTTGGTAAGAGGGGATTATCAAATTGGAAGTAACTATTGTTATATGAAACTACCCCGCACAACTACATCTAAAATTGCTGATATCAATGATTATTACCAATGTTATTATTTTGCTAAATTAAAAGAGGATTTATAGTTTTGTTACATAACTAATTAGATATTTATAAATTATTAAGTTTTATTTTGTTCTCGTATATGGTCTTAGTTCTTTCTGAGTTTTTTTTTCTCCACGTTGCATGAGAAAAATTAATGACTTCCGAGTGTGACAGGCCCTAAGCCGGCTTAATCCGGACCTTTCGCCTTCCATTCTTAGCGAGTGCCTGCTTACTATAATCTACCTCCCTGCTAAGTTTCACCTTTATTCAGGTCTTCGAGAATCAATGATGAGTGAGTGATCTTTCGCCTTTATACATATATATAATTAATTATAACTGATAATACAATTAATATTGCCCTTTATTTTTCAGCTCATTACATAACTTTAGAGAAAGGAAACAGGCTGCTAATGATTAACGGTTACAGTTTCTCGAAGAACAGTAGGATTGCTAAAGGCGGGATTCGGTACGCCTGTTCCAGTCTACTGACCGAAAAATGCAAAGCGTATGCCCACGTCAGCGTTGATAACGTCATCCTCAAATGCCACACGGAACACAATCACAGTCCAATACAGTACATTAGAACCAGCAACGGGAGATATATAAAAGTTTTTAGTAGTAAAAAATGGTGAAGGAAATACTTGAATATCTTCAAAAATTTTATTTATTTATTTATTTATTTATTCATATTGCACAATGTACATATAATGTCAAGTATAACATACAGCCAGTACAGTACATTACCCTGTGAGGGCGCAGCAATTTAACTTATAACTAGATAATAATACATGTTATATTTTTTATTACATTAGTTATCACTTCTATATCACAAACACTTTTATGCATTGTTATAAAATATAGTGTGGTGGCCCGGAGGTTAAGGCGCCCGCTTCTCATGCATGAGGGTGCGGGTTCGAAACCTGGCAAGTACCAATGTGACTTTTTCCGAGTTATATGTACTTCTATGATTATTTAGACACCACTGACATACGGTGAAGGTAAACATCGTGAGGAAACCTGGACTTATAATTTCTAATTATAAGTTTGAAATCGCCAACCCGCATTGAGCAAGCGTGGTGATTAATGCTCAAACCTTCTCCGCGTGAGAAGAGGCCTTTGCTCAGCAGTGGGCACTTATAGGCTGATGATGATGATGATGATGATAAAATATAGTCCACATTAACTCACTACGTTATTAAAGTTAGCTAAAAATTATTACTAGGTACTTCTTAAAGCTATAACTGTTACCTATACATAATAATAACTATTCAATTCTATAGTGTTACCCATATAATAACTATTACCTATATAATAACCATTTTATATTTATAATTTTACACATGAAAAGTATGAAAACACAAAATCCTTGGACGAAATCAAATATTAGAAAACAAAAGGCAAAAGCATAATAAAATTAAGTGAAAAGCAAAGAACATTAATATCATATAAAATAAATAAATAATTATAAGGTACAAGTTTAAAATAAATTCACCGTAAAACTTAAATTACAATCGAGGAATAATTTTGCAATTATAACTACAATTCTTATCTTCAAGGTACTCCTGAATACTATAATAAGATTTTTTAAGTAGTAAGGACTTTATTCTAGATTGAAATATACAGAGAGTTTTGGTTGACCGTATTTCCTCAGGTAACTTGTTATAGATTTGAATGCTGCGGTATTCTGGGCTATTTTTATACATTTGTAGTCTAGGTGCAGGTAAGATTAATTTGTTTTTCCGGCGTTCGTTTTTATTAAAATTAAACATCTTGATATTTTTTTTTACAAAAGTGGCTAGTTCTAGTATATAGATGGACGGCAATGTTAGTATTTTCTCACGTTTAAAATATGGTTTACAGCTATCTCTAGGTTTAATGTTATAAATAATTCGCAGACATTTTTTTTGAGCAATAAAGAGATCTTTAGCATCGACACTGTGGCCCCACATGATGATACCGTAGCGTAGCCACGCATAGGCATATGCGTAGTACGCAGTTAGAGCACATTGTGCGTTGGTATTAGTTTTTAATACATTTAACCCATATGAGAATTGTGACAGTTTTATTTTTGTTGTGTCAACATGTTTTTTCCAATTTAAGTGGGAGTCTAGTGTGATGCCTAAAAGTTTAAATTCCTCTACTTCTTCTATTTTAAGTGCTGGTAACATAATTCAGGTTAATTTTTTGTTTTTGATACGGTTTGAATTGTATGATTTTTGTTTTTTTATTATTAACTTCAAGGTTATGATTTAAGAGCCAAGACTTTATGAGGTTGTAGGTGTTAATTATTTGGGAGTTATATTCTGCACTATTTGGAGGACTTTTAAAGAGAATGGAGATGTCATCAGCAAACAGCACACATAGATGGTCGCATATTTTCGGCAGGTCGTTAATATAGATGAGGAAGAGTATACAGCCTATCACGCTGCCTTGTGGTATAGACCAGTTTGTGGTAAGGGTATCCGACAGGACATTTAAAAATTCACATGTGTCATAATTTATGTAGTCTATCTGCACACATTGTTGTCTGTCAGTAAGATAGGAACTAAGCCATTCCAGTATATCTCCTCTGATACCAACTCCATCCAGCTTTTTCAGTAAAATTGAATGATTTACTTTATCATATGCTTTAGACATATCAAGTAAGAGACCTATGGCATAGTTTTTATCTTTGATATATGTCAGGATTTCCTGTGTGTATTGATAAACGGCTAGTGTGGTTGAACGATTTTCTCGGAATCCAAATTGGTTATTATGTAAAATGTTATATTTTTCTAGAAAATTACTCATCCGTTTAGTAATTACCTTTTCAAATATTTTCGACAATGTAGGTAATAAGGCTATTGGTCTGTATTGGCTAGGATCGGTTAGGTTCCCACCCTTTTTTGGTATAGGTTTAATTTTTGCAATTTTTAATCTAGAAGGAAAAGTTTTTTCTTTAAAAGATTGATTTATAAGATAAGTTATTGGAGGAGTGAGTTCCAAGGCACATGCTTTTATTAATGTTGAGGGTATTTCGTCAATGCCACAACTTTTTCGTAATTTTCATAAATTTATTTCTATTTTTCGTAATTTTCATAAATTTCCTTAGTATTTGTTTTTAATTGCTTTATTTGTTACCATAGTAGACAATAAAAAAATGTAATAAAAAAAATACTCAAATAACAAGTACATACTTGAAGTAGGTACCTAACAATGGCATATCTAATCGATAACAAGTTATATATTCAGTTACCATTTTTACTAACAGCCTGTATATACTTGTACATTACTATGTGTTTGTGTTGTATTGTAATAATAAATGGATAAGTGTGAGTATATATTATGTAATTTAAAAACTAAATATTCTAGAATAAAGGGCAATAGAACAATAAGGGTCAATTTATAGCGTCTCAAAGCGAAATTCCATACTAATCCCATTCAGTTTCATGTACATTCGCTCGTATGTTATTAAAACATCGGAAAATTCTAATAATATTATTTCTCAATCATTTTGATTAAATACTAGAATACTAGTGAATTTTTTTTATGTAATGGGTCGGCAAACGAGCAGACGGATTACCTGATGGTAGGTAAGCAATCAGCGCCGCCCATGGACACCCGCAACGGAGGAGTTACGAGTGCGTTGCCGACCTTTTAGGGATTAGGGAATGACCTCCGGTAACCTCACTCACACGGCGAAACACAACACTGCGGTTGTTTCACGCCGGTTTTCTGTGAGGCCGTGGTATCACTCCGGTCGAGCCGACCCATTCGTGCCGAAGCATGGCTCTCCCACACTTGGCCGAAGAATGCCCAATAGGCTAGATTGTTTGAATGTTATATCTTTACTTACTTATAGTAACTAATGATTTAATGTAAATATTGTGCAATGTTTAGATTCCTATATACATGTAGTGTAAAGACAATGTACATATAGGTATTAAGTCTGGTTTTGACTACAAATAAAAAGCCCTTTTATAAAACGTTTAATTTTCTTATATAAATCTTGTTTTATAACAAGTATACCTGAAAATATGTTTACTTATTGTTTTTTAGTTACACCCCTTTTTTGATGTATAAAAATCATCATCAAATGGGTGGGCGTCAAAGGGTGTCAGACTCTTACTGACTAAAAACCTCCCCGTTCCATTTTCTGCTCCTGTCCTGGCAAATATCCTAGTCCTCTTCAATAGCACTCAAATTACTTACTTGATCCTCAGTTCATTAGCTAGTTAGGAACTTATCATTTGAGCAAATTGATTTTTTTTTTCGAATTCCTGAAATCCAGAGGTGATTATGTCTTATAGTTTGTTGCATAAATGTCGTGGTGGCCTAGAGGTTAAGGAGCCCACTTCTCGTGCATGAGGGTGTGGGTTCGAAACCTGGCAAGTACCAATGTGACTTTTCCCGAGTTTTATGTACTTTCTATGATTATTTAGACACCACTGACATACGGTGAAGGTAAACACCGTAAGGAAACCTGGACTTATAATTTCTAATTATAAGTTTGAAATCGCCAACCCGCATTGAGCAAGCGTGGTGATTAATGCTCTAACCTTCTCCGTATGAGAAGAGGCCTTTGCTCAGCAGTGGGCACTTATAGGCTGATGATGATGATGATTGTTGCATAAAAACTCGTTATAATTGGGTAGCTGCCTAGGTCAAAAATTAATTTATTCGACGTTTCAGTATAATAAAATACTTTTATTAAAAATAACTTTACTTTTATTCATCGATCGATCGATACACTAAGTTTTAGATTTTGTAGCAATTTATTAAGAAATGAAGAAAGCTATTTGACGCAAAAATGTTATGACGTCTTAACTCAGTTTGTCATACAAAATCATAGAAAAGCATAGTTTTGGACGTTTGGATAAAAGTATTGAATTTGACTAGTTGGAAACTACCGCATTATTTTTTACCAATGTTTAAGTTCCACTTGAAATGTTCCGTATTACATAACCAGTTCTGACATTAGATGCGGTCGTCTTCGTCCGAAAAGCTGCAAGTGTTACATCAAGAATGGCAAGCCCACGTTCATTGACCTCCGTAATACTGCACAGTTGCATTATCTTATGTTTATATTCGTTCGTACATTTACCGCAGAATCTGTTTCAACTTGCACAGAACAAGTTTTTTGTGCTTTGTACTGGATTGAGTGCAATGTGTGGGTATACTTCCCTTTTAATTTATAATATCGCATAACTCAAAAACGACTGCTCCAATTTTGCCAAATTCTTTTGTTTTGTATTTATTTTTGTAGGGAGAAGGTTCTTATGAAAGAAAATTTTAGAAAAGTAGAGGGGGAGTTGGGTAATAGGGACCCTTTCATCGTAAGCGAGCTGCTAGTAATACATAAAGAAGTACTGTGTAAGATGTTTTTAACTCGCAGAAAACCGGCGTGAAAAAACCACAGCGTTGTATTTCGCCATGTGAGTGATGGAGGCCCAATCCATCCCCTCCCACAGTCCCTAAATCTCAAAATCCCTAATCCCAAAACGTCGGTAACGCACTCATAACCCCTCTGGTGTCCATGGGCTACTCTGATTGCTTACCACCAGGTAATGCATTTGCTCGTTTGCCGACTTATTACATAAAAAAATGTTTCTAGCCCATTGACAATCGAAGGATTTACCTTCAACATTTTTTTTGGGCAGTTAGACTTAAATATAGTGTAAATCTAAAACATAGCTATTGATGGATACCTACATATGTATATACAATTTACAGCTCATTACATAACGCTGCAGCGAGGTAGTAAGCTGTTAATATTCAACGGGCATAGTTTCTCCACCCATTATACCAGCAAAACCGGTGTTAAGTACTATTACTGTTCCTGTGCTAATGCCAAGAAATGCAGGGCGTACGTCCATGTCAGCGCTGACGACGTCATTATTAAGTACGACATCAATCATATACATGAACCTATCAAGTATTTGCAGTTGCGCAGCGGACGGTATTGTAAGGTACCATAAATAATTCGAAAAAAAAATGTATCTTTTTGCATGTCTACAATGAAATAAAATTCGCGCGAATTAATTTTCGCACCGCGTCCTTCAATGTCTTGTGAAACAAATTGGCGCGAATTTTATTTCGCATTCCAAACAGACATTTAGAATTGTAGAAATTATGTGTACATAGTAATTCGTCGGATAGCTACAAGTTTCCAATTATAGCAATTCGTATCGAAAGACGTCGCGTCCTAAAAAATGCTTATTTATGTCATAAGTTGTAATAAGCTGAAGGTTTTACCACCTTACTCATAGACATTAAATGATATTACTTCAAGTTGTACGATTTTCATCCTAAAATATACACATATGGACTAGATTGAGTATCCACTCAATTGCTCAGAGTACGGCAGTAAATTATATTAAAACTCGGTGACTGCACAATTCTATTGTATTCTATAATTTTGTATAATAACTTTTAAATAATTTGATCTGAGATTTTAAAAGTAATAAATAAATAATTATGGTTCTCAAATTTATTATTGTTTCATTTTCCTACGTCGCACGTCCTAACAATATTTGCTCCACATAAACTATTCTGAATCCAAATGTGTGTTTTAATGTTCACTGAGACATTAAAACAAACAAAAAGTATTGCTATATATTTTTATTCAATTTGCCCACCCTTTTTGTCGGGGAGAATCATCGAAGGAAGGGGAGGAAGTCTCAGACTCTTACTGACTGAAAACCCCCCCGTTCCTTCTCCTGCTTTAGGCCGAGGCCGCAGTGACTTATTGCGCTTGTCCCGCAACCATGGCTAAATTTGCCCACCCTAAAAGATTGGTTGGTTATTGGTTGCTGTATTGATACGACCTTCAAGAAACAAGCGTATTCCATCTTAAAAGTCCGGCAACGCGCCCGTGACTCCTGGTGTGTCAGGTGTCCTTGGGCAGCGCTTAACATGAGGTAAACCGTCTGCTTCTTTGCCTACAACCTATTTCATAAAAAATATATAAATAAAACTAACATCACTTCCCGTATTCCTAGAAAATAATAAAATAATTATATTTAAATTTCAAAGGTAGTTCTTGTGGTAAACGATGAAAGAACAAAACCACAGACTATAAATATTTTATTTTTGCAGATGAGCCACAATTCGTGAAGACATTACAGGGTGCTACACTTTTACTTTTAGACGGGTTTACGTTTAATAAAAATGGCACCATGGTTAGTGGACGTACTCGATACGTATGTTCGAAAACTTCCAAAGGCTGCAAAGCTCGTGTCTTCTTGGATTCTAATAATAAAGTTATTAATTACTTCAATGATCACAACCACGGATGTATTAAATATATTATAACTCGTAATGGATATTTTGTTAAAGTGGATTAAGTAAAAGCGAATTGTTTTAACAAAGTTTTCAAAAACGGAAGATTTTCGATTGGTAAGGTTTTTTATATAATTATGTATTTTTAGTCCGTATATGTTACTGAGCTAATCGTTTTCAACTTTTGTGTTTGATTGTTAGAAAAGGACCAAACTTTTTCGAAAACATTTGCCCTTTGTGTTCGTAATCTTAGCATGTGTTTATTTTGTTCATGTAGGAACATACAACGAATTCAAAACTGATTATTGAATTCAATTAAATAGTTCGAATTCAATTAAAAAAAAATGTTTTTTTTTTTCTTTATTTTTTGTCAAATTTCTTATCCCATGCACCATGACTATTTTACCCCTAATAACATTAAAAATAAAATCAAACATTCCAGAGACTGAATTATGTCGTTGTTCCTTCTTTGATATCTTTTTTTTATTGAAAATACAGACTTAGGTGAATTAACAGAGAAAAGCTCTACTAGTTTCGAGTCTCAACGGGAATCTTATTCATGAGCAGCGTGCCCGTCGCTGCGACGTAACTTGAAACTAGTGGAGGTTTTCTCACTTAACTCATGCGAGTAAATCATTATTTTCAATAAATTTTATATGTCACAATAGTTCTATTCAAAAATTTTTAGGTTTTTATAAAATACTCGAATGTCCTGATCAAAATCTCAATTCCTTTCCCCATTTTACAGATTTACCCCGACTCGTGAAGACAATACAAGGTGCTACAATATTACTTTATGACGGTTATACGTTTTGTAAAAAATTCGTAATGGCCAATGGGAACGTTAGATACATATGCTCAAAAACAATATCCGAAAAATGTAAAGCTTATATCACCTTGGATTCTGATCATAAAATATGTAAATATGATAAAACTCATTGTCATGAACGACCTAAATATATTTTTTCACGTTCTGGACATTTTATCAAAGTGTAAATTCTTCTGTATGCCTCACTGAGTAAATTCTTATACCTTTTTTCGATTATTCTTTTTATTCTTAGTTTTTAATAATAATGTGTTCGTATTCTGTATTTTCTCTACTATTCAGTAATAAGGATCGAATTTCCAACACTCGTACCTTCTTAACCTTCGTGTGTTTGAAGGTATGAGAGAACAGGGTGGAAAGTTCCTCATCCTCCATTGAAAAGAGAGGATCCTTCGACCAGACCGGTGTTCTTTCTGGTGGGCTGTATACTCACTTTAGTGTATACGTTCCCTTTAGAAGGCTCATATGATATTTGCTATCTGTATGTTAGTGATAAATTGTGAATATTTCCTTTAATAATATATTATTGTCACCGATATTTTGAGTTTTATATACGATATCACATTAAGATTTAACCTACATGTTACCCGGCCTGAGGGCTGTAGGAACCTTAGCCTTTTTATATACAAATAAGCAAGAAAAATAATTTAAAATTTAATTTATGGTTTTGTAAGTTGCCTGCTATTTGTATCTTTAAGAATATCGTCGCTTTTATTTCACAAACAGCAAAAAGATTGGACAGATTCAGGCTGAATTTGCAAAATAATGGTAATGCAGTAAACACTACAGTATTATTGGTATACTATGAAAATGTTCAATGCAATTTGAAAACTTAGTTTAGATATAAATATGTTTTTCTAAACTAGTACATTTATAGATGACCATCATAGTCTATTAACGATTTTTATGTGTAATGTCTGGAATCAAAAATTCTTTTGATCCGACTTCCTAAATGATGGTTCTGTGTAAGATCCATATTACCAACTACCCACAATGCAGGGTTAAAAAAATTTGTTTAGGCAGTGAAGAAGATGCAGCGGAACTTCTGACGTCACCAAAAAGTACTTTGTATAATTAGCACAAGAAAAACACAAAAGACCGAAAATGCACTTGCAGTAACTCCTTTGGTATGACGAGTGTCCATGGGCGGTGCTGATTGCTTACCATTAGGTAATCCGTATGCTCGTTTGTCGACCTATGACATGAAAAAGTGATAAAATGCATATTAATGCATGACTGCACGGTTGGTGCAGTGGCTGGGCATCTGGCTGCAGTGCAACGTGTCACGGGTTCGATTCTCGCACGGAACAACACTTTGTGTGATCCAAAAATTGTTGTTTCGGGTCTGGGTGTCATGTGTATGTGACATTGTATGTTTGTAAACGCACTTACAACGCAGGAGAAAATCGTAAAGTGGGGCAACGATTAAAAAAAAGTTAATTCGAATGTAGCTCAAAAAATAATTTTAATGTTTTACAGGTATACCACAGTTTGTGAAGACATTACAAGGTGCTACACTTTTGCTTCTAGACGGGTTTACGTACAGTAAAAGATGTCCCTTGGCCAATGGGAGTATTAGATATTCGTGTTCGAAAGCTTCGGCCGGTAACTGCAGAGTTCGAGTCTTTTTGGATTCTAATAATAAAGTAATAAAGTACATCAACGATCATAATCATGGACGTACAAAGTATATTGTTTCACGATCTGGATTTTATTGTAAAATAAAATGAAAAAAATCTGAGTAACTTTTTTACATTTGTAATTTTTACATGTGCAGCGAATGCTTTTAGATTCTTTTTAGTACTGCAGTGAGGTACTTTATGTCAAATTTAAAGGGTATTCGGGTGGCCGACCGCTTAATAATTACCCAGTAACTATACCTGCTTGACAGTCTTTTTCTTATGAGTAGAGTCGCCCTCTCTTCTTCTTCTATAAAATACTTTGGCTGGACTAGATAGCTTAGTATTTTCTCATATCCTATTCATTTGAAATTAGTTTTGCAATTGGAAATGGAAGATTTCTCAATTACTTGTGCAACAAATGAATGTTTAAGTCAGGGTTTTTGTTAATTTTCCTAAGTGTACTCCGATTCATAGAAACATCGCACAATATTAGACTTCTAGACGGCCACTGATGATAAAATGAAAATTGTAATCTAATTAAAAAACTAGACGCATTTGCCTCCAAACTTTCTAGATTAAACTGTAAAGCTCGAGTCTTCTTAGATTCTGTTAATAAAGGCTAAACACGATAAAAATCACAATCATAAACTCCAAAATATATTATCATTAGTTCATTGCGTCAAAACGAGTTGAAAAAAAGTGAACCAAAAATAAAGGCGGATTTTGTATTTTTTTTTAAATAATTCAATTTAATTTACCTCTCTTTTGTGTTGTGACGTATATCCAATACATACCTCATGTATGCTATAATTAAATTTTAATTTATTAAATATGGCATTTTTATCGATATTTCAAGTCTTATCATTCCATAATTCCTCATTATACCCCAAAAGTCGCTGATTTGCGGCGCAGTTTGCACAAGTAGAAGTATTTTTATTTTTTTATGCTGCAGAATTGCACTGTAACTGCACCATATAAGCATGAATTGCTTTGCTTTTTCTATGTCTATCATTGTTTAAATTGTGTGCCAGAAAGTGCATGATGCAGGACAGTAAATGTTTTCAGAATTAGAATATCGGTCAATATTTTTATTTTTTATTTCCACAGGTATACCACAATTCGTGAAGACATTACAGGGTGCTACACTTTTGCTTCTTGACGGGTTTACGTACAGTAAAAATTGGTGTATGGCCAATGGGTGCACTAGATATGTTTGCTCGAAGGCTTCAGCCGGGAACTGCAAGGCTCGCGTCTTCTTGAATTTGGATAATCAAGTATCTAGGTTCTTGAAGGGCCATAATCACGAACGTCCCAAGTATATTATCACTCGATCCGGACATTATATCAAAGTGAATTGAAGATATTAGCAGCTAGTCTATCGTCATACAAAATAGTACTAGTAGGTAAAAAGAGGAATGTAAAGAATAATAATAGTTGGACGCATTTAGTTGTTCCAAATCCATGATCCAAAAGTACGGAAGCTAATCAATTTTCCATTTAAAATAAAATTACTTTATTTATATTAATGGTATGTTATGTACAACACATAGGTAGAACAAGAAAACATCTTAAAGTTTTCGACTGCTCAAAATAGAAGATTTTTATTGTTTAGTTAACAAATATTATATTTTTAAGTATGTTAGTCACTTTTAAAATTAATTTGTTTTGATCTCAGTTATCAAATATGGTTCCAAAATTTTGATCGATAGCGTACTTACTTATTTGCTTAGTTGGTACTTGAACGATACCTTAGTATTTTATTTGGTTCTTTGATAGTTCAATACTGTAGATCACAGATGGCGTTACGTGTTTATACCTTTTAGCGTTCGGATCACACTGCCCTGTATGTACTATGTACACTCAATCATTTACCTCTTAACTTGATATATTCATTTTGTACCCTTTTCGTATGTGAATAAGGTATCTTTTAGAATGAATTTTCTAGAATTAGCGGTATTTTAACTTACCTACTGTCGTTCTAGTGATAATCTAGTGTGCAATATTAACACATATTACCTGTGAATAAGTTACCAGTCTTAAGCCAAAAAGTAACTGTAGAGATTACTAAGTACCTTAATTCATTAATAGATAACATCTCTGCCAAATATTTTTAAGTGAGGTATTCTTAATAGAAGTAAGGTCTCGTTTACGTACACGCGGGGCTTTGCGCGGCACGTATATTGTTTGTCGTACATTACAGCATCAAGTCTTGTCAACGGCCGTGCAAACACAAACATATGAACATCACGAGCAATGTATGACGAGCTGCACAGTGCACCGCACAACGCGCCGCTTTAACGTAAACGAGGCCTAAGATCGATTGAGAAGAAGAATCGATGATTCTAGTTGTAATTAACTTAGAAACTAGAAGGTATTTAAGTATTGTCGTATTGTACCAAAGGTTCAGTATTTTAATAACATTCGTATTTTAATGTAAGTCAATAGGTTCGACGATTTTAAATAATTAGGGTTGCCAAATCTGTGTATTTAAAGATAAGGCACGGAGAGTTCGGCATAAGAGTTGGGTTAAATGGTCGAGCACACATTACACATAATTCTATATCAAAATGACTTAACGTAAGAGTGAGTCATCGAAATCTAACAAGCCAGACGGCACAGTAAATTATGGCTAGACTGGCAATAAAAAAATCTCAGAACTTATCCGAACGCCTAGCAACCCTACTTTCTATGACAGAATGAATGAAAAAGCGTGTAGTCCAGATCTAACAAGCCATACAGTTCCAGTGCCGTACATTTTGTCTGGGCAGGCAATCAACAAACTTATGTTAGAACTCCTCACTGATAAATAGGATAACCTCAGTCTAGACTTTTTTTTAATTTTATTAGTCAAATTTTCTTTATAGAATTTGTTTTATAAGCAAAGTAATTAGTTAATTTTTAATCTGTGTTACCAATTTTAATTCTATAAGAAATATTCTTTTTATAACTCTTTTTAGTTTAAATGTTAAATTATTTTTTGTTATTTTTAATGTTGTTATTGTTATGCGAACTTTATTTATTAAGTCTTCCTGCGTTCGTATTTTTATTGTTATAGATTCTATTTTCCAACTTTTTTGACGATACTCTCATTTTTTTTGTTTCGTAATAAGTTAGGGTTGGAAATAACACGAAGAAATGAATTTAGCCTATTTGGTACAGCGGTTTTTGAGTTTAACATATCAAGCGATTATTTTTTTCACATAGTTTATGCATTAGTGGTTTGTATTCTTATCGATACAGTGTACTCGTGAATAAATGGAAGTAATCGCTAATTGTTTTTTTTTTTCTTACGACCATTCTTACTTTTCAAACACGTTAGGTACGACGCGAACAGTAATGATACTTATAATACTTAGCTAGTCTTGTATGGTTTTTAACAGGTAAAAATATAATGAGTATCACTACTACCTATTCCTTTTCTTCCTTATTTATTTTAATTTATATAGCTTGACACAACTCATTTTTATATAACACGCTTTGTTTATATTTTATTTCTTGTATATTGTAATTATTATATTATATTTTTAATTTAATTTTTCTCACTTAGTCATATTTACAATGCCACAATACCTAATCAATAAAACTGCCTTTTAAGGACATTTGATTAAGAACTAATTACGGTTTAATTCATTAAATATTTTAGCGAGGTTCGTGAAAACTGAGATGGGGATTGTGTACTTGTTGTTGGAAGGTTACATCTTCAGCAAGAATACGAAGATCAGGCAGGGAGGGACGAGGTATGCTTGTGGGAACCGTCTCTCAAAAAGCTGCCCAGCACACGTACATTTATCGAAGGATAACGAGATACTCAAGTATGATAACAGCCATACTCATCCCCCGCCGTCATACACGTTCTCAAATGGATATTTTATTAAAATTAATTAAGTAAAAAACAAACGAGTGATCGCAAACTCGAGAACAATTCTGTTGTGTCCTTTTTTGAAATTTTCTTAGTGATAACACAGAGTTTGAATGTGATAATCGGGTTATTCTCTATTACCCGGGACTCCTAACATATAGTACACCACTGCTTACACAGCAGAACAAAAGGCGTGTCGTTGTGTGTGTATTTATGTACAAATGTATGTACAAAGTATTTAATTGTTCACTTAATTGAAATTTACTCAGTGGTAACACAGAGTTTGAATATAATAATAGGCTTACACCCGGATTCTGAAAGGCTTGTCAACGCTAAAATTAACTAATCTCCTGTTAAATCTCTTGTCAAGTCATCTGATTGGTTGTTAATAATTCAGTCAACCAATCAGATGACTTGACAAGAAATTAAATTGATTTTAACATTAATTGGCCTTTCGGAAACCGGTGTTATTCTGTTTTACATATACACGTAATACAACACTGGTTATTCCTCAGCACAGAAAAGAGCGTATTGTTATAAATTAATTAAGTAAGTACCTGTGTTTGTTTAAGTCCATCTAATAGTTATAATGAGATATCAACATACAAGAAATAATAAAAGATTTTCCTTTTAATTTGCGAGTACAAAATAATTGAAATAATTTTGTGTAAGTTTTTGATTTAAAAAGTCTTTTAGTGTTATTTGTGCATTTCAATAAAGTACCTTAACTACATCTAAAAAACGTTTATTTTTCTTTCTCGGTTTAATGTGTTTGTTTTTTCATTAATTGAAGCAATACATTATAAAACTAATATTGGCACATATGTGATATTATGTATCTATTGGGGTAAAACTACATTTTGTTTGTTTAAAAAAATAAAAAGGTAATAGTTGCCTAACTAGTTTTTTTTGCCTTTACTGCAAGTTATTGTTATAGTAACTTTTAAACTTTCGCGTGTCATTTTACAGCGGGTATTAACACGAAAAAATAGTTATTTAAATACCTTGGCAGGCTTGACGTTTCGACCTGGTTCTTGGTCGTGGTCGTAAGCAGACTTTAAATGGTTATGATTTCTCGGCTTTTCCAACTAAAAAAATCTCAGTATCTAATAGCTTCTTCTGGTTTTCTGCTTTGGTTTGTGCCAGTTTGTAGTAAAAATCTCACCCTCTATTACGTGGAATTCATAGTTGTTCTCTCATATCGGAACTCATTATGTCGAAACTTATAAATATCGCGTTCAGCCTTCTGATTGATTGGTTGACTTGTAGCGGGCCAATCAAAGAGCCGAACGTCATAAAACGTAAAAGTAGTAGGTATTAATGGATACATACGGATATCAGTGATATTATGGAGTAGATATTGTACATAGTCAAAGATTATAGGTTCGCGCTTGACCGTTATCTCACCTGATGGAAAGCGATGATGCGATCGATCGAACTTAAAGCAAACACCCATTTTAGTAAAAAAATGGTATTTAATTGTGTTTTGTCATATAATTTTATTTCTATCCACAGTTGAAGTTATAGAGCTGGTAAATGGTACAATGCTGATCATGGTTAACGGATACACGTTCCATAGAAATGGCGCAAAGAGACGAGGTGGTATTCGATGGTGTTGCTCAAATAAAAGTAGAGGCTGCACTGCTTATATGGTGGTAGATGAAGACAGAAGCATCGTCGATAGGCTGGCTGGAGAACATAACCATAAAAAACCAAAGTATATTGTTAAAGGGGAATATCAAATGAAGACCTGACCGTTTGGGCTAAGAAAATAAAGAAAAAATTGTGACCAATAAATTATATGAACTTTTTAGTTAGTCTCTAAAGAAACCTATGAATAAGGTTTACGTTATGGTTTCGTTACGACAAAGTCCTTTAGTAATTTAATTGGTTAAAATGATGTTGTTGATTTTTTGCCATTCAAAGTGAATCCGAAAACTCTATTTTTTTTCATAACCTTAAGGTTATATTATTATAAGGCTATTCTTAATGTGTGTTCGAATTTTAAAATGGGATTCTGATATGATGCACCTTAAGTTATTTGAAGATAAACGTGCTTTTTTTCGGAATCAAGCTCTTTAGATTATCAGATAACTTAAATTAAATCATATTAAACATTGAAACACAACACTGTAGTTGTTTCACGCCGGTTTATGGTAGTATGGAAATGGGTAACATATGGGTGAGGTTAATGGAGACCCAATCCTTTAATTAGAGGGGGCCCAATCCCTATATCTCTGAGTTTCTGATCCCCATAAGAGTGATGAGTGATTCGTGAAATCCTTAGTCACTTTTCTTTGGAATACTTAACGTGCTTTCATTTTTTTCGGTTTATGCCTAAAGTAGGTCAGCCTCTTGTCTAATCTAGACTATTGGTACAGGTTGTGTAGTTACTCTCTAGGGTTGCGGTTATGTAGGGTTATGTACACAGCATAGTAGAAGATTGTATTATGTATGCGTACTTCACTTGCGTTTTGTTTTGTAAATTCTTTGTGTTTT